TTTTGGCTTTTTGAGACAGGGTCTCCCTGTAGCCCCAGCTGTCCTGGAACTCACTATGTAGACCAGGCTGGTCTCAAACTCACAAAGATCCGCCTGCCTCTGCCTCCCTAGTGCTGGGATTAAAGGCATGCACCACCACACCCAGCACTTTTTTCTTTTTTTAAACTGGTTAAATCCATTTATTAAAATAGTTGACTTGGGCATCTATCTGCAAAGGTGACTTCCACTTCTACTCCTGGCTCAATACTGATGGAAGTAATCAGCTTAACATTCTCAGAAAGACTGTGCAGGTCAATGAGTTGCTTGTGGATTCTCATCTGGAAATGATCCCATGTGTCTTGGAAACTTCACCACAACAATGTCTTGGTGGGCATGTGAACAGGGCCTTTCACTTTCAGATTCTTTTCCTTCGTGTCTCTGATCAAGTCGGCACACACCTTCTCCAGAGACTTCATCTTGAGGCTGGTCAGAGTGATTCAAATTCGGTGAATCCCCCCCCCAACCCCCCAACCCCCCCTACACATTCACTGGAGAGAACCCACAGCCGCACCTCAGAAAGGCTACCCACATCTTTTGAAACAACATTGGGCTGGAGCACACCAATTTGACTGATCAGTGAGCCCTAGGGGTTCGCCAGTCTCTGCCTACCCAGTGCTGGAATTAGAAGCATGCACCACTACACTTGGCTTTTTTTTTTTTTGTCTTTTTGAGACGGGGTCTCCTTGTAGCCCCAGCTGTCCTTAAACTCACTATGTAGACCAGGGTGGCCTTGAACTCACAAAGATCTGCCTGCCTCTGCCTCCCAAGTGCTGGGATTAAAGGCATGCACCTGGCTAAATGCATTTTTTTAAGTTTTTTTTTTTTTTGTCTTTTTGAGACGGGGTCTCCTTGTAGCCACAGCTGGCCTGGAACTCATTATGTAGCACAGGGCATTTTAACTTTTGACATCTTCCACTTACTGTGGGTTTATAAGATAGAATGCCATTGTAATTTGAGGAACATCTATATATAAAAAAGATGCTCAATATCATGTCATTAAAGAATTACAAACAATAAAGAGATGCTAGTATATACATATCAGAATGGCAAAAATCTAAAATACTGACAACATCAAATACTGGGAAAGCTATGGTGGTTTGAATGAGAATGTCCCCCTTTGGCCTCAAATATTTGGACATTTTGCCCCCAGTTGGTGGCGCTGTTTTGGGAGACTTTTGGAGGTGTGGCTATGCTGTAGGAAGCACGTCACTGTGAGTAGGCTTTGAGAGTTCTTAAGCCTTGCTAGATTCCAGTTGTGAGATGCTTCCTGGGCCTGCTTGAAGATGTGATCATTTGGATTTCTGCTCTAGCTACCCCTTCTGCCATGCCTCCCCACCATGATGGACTCTAACCCTCTGGAACTATAAGCTAAATAAGCTCTTCCTTCCATACGTTCCCTTGGTCATGGTGTCTTATCACAACAGAGAAGTAACTAATACAGTGTGAACAACAGATGTGGAGCTGTTACTCATTACTGGGGGTATATAAAATAGCACCACTTTGGAAGACAACGGGGCCACTACTTAAAAAACTACCCTACAACTGGTATGGTAATTTTATAAGCAATTTCCAGCAATTGCATTCATTGGTGTGTCCAAATGAATTGAAAAACTATAGCCACAAAAATATCTGCATATGTTTATAGCAGCTTTGTTTATAAATCTTGGAAGCAAATCCTTCAGTTGATAAATGGGTAAGGTGTGATACATCCAGACAGTGGGGAATTATTCAACACTTTGAAAAGAAATAAACTTAAAAGTCAGGAAAAGACATGGATGAGGCAAACTGAAATGAAGATTACTAAGTAAAAGAAGGCAATCTGAAGAGGTCACGTACAATGATTCTAATTCTGTGCCGCTAAGGGAAAGGCGAACAAGAGAGACAGCAAAGAGCAGTGGTTACCCAGGGATCAGGGTTTGTAGGAGGAAGGCAGAGAGAAGCACAGATGTGTAGGGTGGGGAAACCATTCTGTAAGCTAAAGGAGAATGCAGGTCAGTAAACATGTTTGAAGCCATAGGATGTACAACAGCAAGAATGAACCCCCAAGTTACCTATGGACTTCAGCTGACAATGATGTCAGTGTTGGTTCATCAGATGGTAGTAGGGAGGCTTGGAGGGCAGCAAAGGTATGTGGGGACTCCCTATAAACACCTAAAGTGCTCTAAAAATGATGCTGTATTAGAAAATGAAATCCCAAGTAACCACAGGAATGTAGGAGCTCATTGTACATGGCAAATGCCCTGTACACCTGACAGTTTGGTTGTCCTAGTTTGCTTTCTGTTGCTGTGATAAACGCCATGACCGAAAGCAATCTGGGGAGGAAAGGGTTTATTTGGCTCACAGGTTACAGTCCATCATGGAGGGAAGCCAAGGCAGGAACTCAAGCAGAGACTATGGAGGAATAACATTTTACTGGTTCAGCTGTCTTCCTTATGGCCCACTGCCCAGGGATGGAACCACTCACAGTGGGCTGGGACCTCCCACATCAATTAGCAATTAAAAAAAAAATACCCCACAGATATGCCCACAGGCCAACCTGATGGAAGCAATTCCTCATTTGAGATTCTCTCTCTTCAGGTATGTGTACACTTGTGTCAAGTTGACAAAAACTGTGACACAGCTGCTGCTATACCTTGTGGTCACAGCACGTGGCATCTGCTGCAAAATGTTAGGGTAAGCATCTTTTAGAGCTTACTTACTTATTCCTTCCTAAATAAATTTAATGGAGTAGAGGCCACCAGACACCAGTGCCAAGGTTGACTGCTCTTTGGAATAGCAGCCAGCTTTCACGTCACCCTTTCCTCTCTGCCCTTCCACATACACAGGAAATAGTCAGCAATGTAAATTCCCCAGGGAGGACAAACTCAAAGCTTGAGAACACCTGAGAGATTAATTAACACCAGATTTGACTTTAGATAGGCCACTTCCCCTTTCTGGGCTTCAATTTTCTGGTTTTGAAAAAAAAGTGGTTCGGGGGGGCCTGGAGAGATGGCTCAGTGGATAAGAGCACTGATTGGTCTTGCAGAGGACCAGGATTCAATTCCCAACACCCACATGGCAGCTACCAACTGCCCTTAACTCCAGTTCCAGGGGAATCTGACGCCCTCTTCTGACCTCTGAGGCATTGCATGACACGGGTGCACTCACATGCAGGCAATACACTCAAAAACAAAAATAAGTGTAAGCTGGAGAATAAAAAACTTAGGGGGCTGGAGAGATGGCTTGGTGGTTAAGAGCAATGGCTGGATCACAGGGTTAAAAAGGAACAAGAGTACCCAGGTTCAGTTGCCTGAACCAGCACCCACATGGCAGCTAACAGCTGTCAGTAACTCCAGTTCCAGGGGATCAAACAGTCTCTTCTGTCCTCCTCGGGCACTGCACAGCATGGGTGCACTTACCTACATGCAGGCAATACACACATACACATAAAATAAAAATAATAATTTTTTAAGTGGTTCTGATGTGTTTTTAGACACTTTCCAACTCTGAGCTTCTAAGGGCCAGGCTTTCTCTGACTTTTAGACTTTGAGCCATTCAGTTCCTTCCACCTGGATCTCTGTCCTCACTTGGAGTACTCTTGACCTCTTGAACAGAATCAGCTAACCCCCTCCATACCCCCCACTGCCCACCCTACCCTCTAATTCTCAGAAAACATTCTAGTGACAATTTTCTGTTAACTTGCTTCTTCCCTTCACTAGACCCTAACCTCCCCAAGAGCTGAAAGTAGGTTACTAACCTCTACTCCCAGGCCAAGGGGGGCGGTCCAGCTCTGATCCTACCCTGGGAAAGTCCAGGTCTGCACCCTCTCTGGAGGGCCAGCCTTCAGAAGTATTCAGTCACACAGTGCAAGCAGTGACTGAGAAAACCATATTTCATTGGTAAAAGAACCCTATTTTATTTTATTTTGTAGTTCTGGGGATCTAACCCAGGCTTTGCACACACTCAGCTACTGAGCCATATCTCCAGCTACCCTTTATATTACTAAACAGAAAATTAACATTAGAAGCTATTCATTTACAAGAGATAAATTAGAGCTTCTTTTTCTTTCTTTTTTTTTAAAAAAAAATGGCTTAATGTTAATTGTGCAAAATAGTGAGATTCATTATGACTTAACAAGGTCTAAGTGTGATCTTTTAGCGTATTTGTTCTTAAAAATTACTACAAGGGAAACCAAGAATCTCTTAAAGAATCTGGGAAAACAGTAACTTGAACAGACCTCTGCACCTGGTTTGGAATTTTCTGTCTGATTGACAGCAAGGCAAACACCTGCTGTCCTGGCGTCCTCCTCTTGCTGGGGTTGGCTGCTCCTGGCCTGCACCTTTGTCCAGCTCCACCCAGTGTTGCCTGGCTGTGGCTTCTCAGTCCATTGGCCTCAGAGCCATTTCTCCCTTGTACTGAGATGGGGCTGACCAGGCTAGGGCTATGGCTCAAGCGGCTCTGTATACTCTTGCAGGTGGCAGTGGAGGTGGCTGTGGGCAAGGTGTTAATGACACTATTCCCAGAAAGAGTCAAGCAGAACATTCTGGCCATGGGCCAGCAGACCGGGATGGCCAGGAACCCTCAATTTACCCATGACAACTGGATCCCGACCTTCTTCGGCATCCAGTACTTCTGGTTCATTCTGAAGGTGCGGTGGCAACGTTTGGAGGACATGGCTGAGTATGGGGGGCTGGCCCCCAACTGCCCTGTGGTCCACCTCTCAGGACAGAAGAGCAACATCTGGGACTTCATGCAAGGTCAGCAGGCTGCTGGGCTCTGGGACCCAAAGCAGTGGGGGTGGCCAGGTGGAGAGGTAGGTTGCAAAGCTCTCTACCACTGTTCTAGCTGCTCCTCTGGGGGCTATCCTCCTGCTCAGGAAATGGAATTCTCTGGGATTCTGTTTCTCAGGTTGCATCATACCTTCCCAGATACTCACAACACAAGCCATCCACTCTAGCCTTTCGGTTCCTGAATGTTGTTCTTAATGGACAGTCCTTTGCCCACCTCCACCTGATGAAATCCTTCCCAGCCTCCAGTGTTGCTCAGTGGCACTTCCTGCCAGAAGCCAGCCTCAATTTCTCCAGGTTACCCCTTCTTATATGTTGACCAGCATCCAAGACTTACTTTATTGACAGTCACAGTGTGTGGTTATGTGTCTGAGTAGCTGAGGCACACCTGTCACCTGCACCAGCCTGCAGACTCTGCAGCAGGGGACCATAGCTTTAACCCACTGTTATGCATTGTGTCTAAGGTAGGTACATGGTAGTTGCTCAGTAAATGCTTGCTGAAGATCTCTGTCTCTCCCAGCCCTCCCTCCTCCTCCCCATCAGATATAACAGCTCCATCTATGTGGGTTCTGGAATATTCCAACCGGTCCTCACTGCTTCTCTCCCTGCCGGAACTTCCTTTTGCCCTTCTTGCTTGCTTCTGACTCAACTTGATGGCTTTCCAGATCACTCTTTTATTTTCTTTTTGGTCTTTTTGAGACAGGGTCTCCCTGTAGCCCCAGCTGACTTGGATTCACTACGTAGACTAGACTGGCCTCGAATTCACAAAGATCCGACTGCCTCTGCCTCCCAAGTACTGGGACTAAAAGTGTGTACCACCACACCCAGGCCAGATCACTCTTTTCTAAGTTCACCAAGCTCAGCACCCTGCGGCAGAACCCCCCTGCATTCAGAGGAGGCCTGGGCTCATGGTCCCTCCTTGGCCAGGCTTGGACTTTTCACCCCAGCATCACTTCCAAGTTTCTTTCATGCTAACTCCCACTAGATCAACTGTGGGGCTTTACCTAGCCTTGTGCTTTGGCCTATGTGTGCTAACACCATGTAATGATCTAGAACATCCTTCTGTATGGCCAACTGCCTGCCTTCCCCTATGCACCAGGACCCAACTCTCGTGCTCCTATCCTCTTAGGCACCACCTCAGATCTCTATAACTCAGCAGATGCTCTCTCCCTGCTGGACGTAGGCCTCCCTACCCACACAGCGCCTCAGACAACTGTTTCTTCCTACCCAGTAATTGTCACCTCTGCTCCCTGCCAGTGGCACTCCTCAGGAAAGAGCTGTGTCTGACTCACCTCAGTTTACCCCAGGGTTTGACAGTAGGCAGGGCAGAGGAGTCCTCTGAAGCAGGCGGCTAACCTGGTGATTTGGGAACCCAAGTCCCTCATATACACTTTACTATATAGAGTTCCCTATTCAAAACAGTTTGGGAAAGTCCTGCATCCAATGTCAACCTCCTGGGAAGTCATAGGACATGTGAGCACATGAAAGTTCATAAAAGCAAACCTGTAAAATGAAAAAATCTCAACCTCGTCTCTTTCTCCCCCTCCCTCTGTCCCTCACTACTTCCTCCCTCCCTCTTCTCTGTCTTTCTCCCTAGCAGAAGATGCCGCCAGTCACTGAGATGTTCCCAAATACCACCCTTTGGGAAACGGTGACCTAATCTAGTCCCCTCATTTCAGAAGAGAACTGGAGAAAACTGAGAGACTGAGCTAACAGAGCAAGTGACAGGGTTGGATCAGAGCCAGGCCTTGTCCTTCAGCAGTCAGGGAACAGCCCCTACATGCCAGACGCCAGCTAGACACCAGGGCTCGGGCCTGGAGCCTGCTCCTGAGCTTAAGAACTTTATGACCCCACCGCACAGGTGGATGGAACAAGCAAATCCAGTGAATTTGAAATGCAGGAGGCCCAGGAGGGCTTTGTTTTGCCTGCAGGTTTTAGGTTTCCTGGAGGAAATGTGTTTGGAACTAATAATGAGTATGACTTTTGAAGTTTCAGAAGGGGGTGTTTTAAGTAGAATGGGAAGAATAAGAATTTTCTTTCTCTTTCTTTCTTCCCTTCTCTCTTCATTCAGGATTTTAAACCATAACATAAAAAACACCTTAATTCATTCAACCAACAACCACCACACAAGCACTGGCAGTAAGAGCAACAAGAACAGCAGCTTTTGCCATGTGTACATCATGTGCCCGGCACTGAGCGGGGGACAGAACAATTTGCTGGATGCCAATCTGAGGATCAGTTCCCTGGAAACTAATTTGCCTCAGGACCAGTTCACAGAATTACTTGTATCCCGTAACTGTCCACTCTCAATTAAAAGCATTCAGCTTCCCGCCTGGTAGCACACACTTGACATACCAGCATTAGGTAAGCAGAGGCAGGAGGATTGGAGTTGAAAGCCATCTTTCAACTGTATAACAAGGCCTGTCTCAAAACCATGGGCTGGGAATGTGGCTCAGTGGTGGAGTTTTTGTCCAACATGTGCAGGGGTCTGGGTTTGATCCCCAGTACAACAATAACAATAAAAAGTATGTTCAGTAAACCAGGCATGGTGGCAATAGGACTCAGGCAATAGAAGCAAATAGATTAGAAATTCAGGAATTGGCTAGGCAGTTAGGGTAAAAAGACCCCAAAGCTAATTTCTTGGCTAAAAGTCAAAATGTCCTTGGGCCTGTTAGCAACATACTCTTTTGCTTTCAGAGCCTTTGCTTTGACTTCAGCTTTGGGAGGAGCAAGGGCTTCCTTCTCCCATTTGGGCGCCATGTTGGTAGAAAGCCTCTATTTTCTTGACATTTTTTTTTAAACTACACACATATTTTGAGCATTTTCCGATAACATGTGCTCTGTTTCGCAAGAAAAAATGAAAGGATATGTATATTTGAAAAAGAACTATAAGCCAGGCGTGATGGTACATACCTTAATCCTAGCATTCAGGAGGCAGAGGCATTGTGAGTTCAAGGCCAGCCTGGTCTACATAGTGAGTTCCAGGCCATCTAGCTGGTGCTACAGGGAGACTCTGTCTCAAAAAGACCAAAAAAAAAAGAAATTCAAGGTTATGTTACTTAGAGAGTTGTAGGTTAGCCTAGGCTACATGAGATCCTAACTTAAAAAAATATTAAAAGATGGGGCTGGAGAGATGGGTCAGCAGTTAAGAGCGCTGACCGCTCTTGAAAAGGACCCGTGTTCCATTCCCAGCACCCATATGGCAGCTAACAACCATCCATATGTAACTCCAGTTCCAGGGGATCCAACACCTTCTGACCTCCTCGGGCACTGCATGACATAGATGCGCTTATACACATGTAGGCAATATGCTCATACACAAAAAATAAAAAGTGCTGGGAATTGAACCCAGGTCCTCTGCAAGAGCAGTCAATGCTCTTAACTGCTGGGCCATCTTTCCGGTCCCATAATAAATCTAAATTTAAAAAAATGACTTCCTCAGCCGGGTGTGGTGGCGCACGCCTGTAGTCTCAGCACTTGGGAGGCAGAGGCAGGTGGATCTCTGTGAGTTCAAGGCCAGCCTGGTCTACATAGTGAGTTCCAGTCCAGCTGGGGCTACAGAGAAACCCTGTCTCAAAAAGACCAAAAAAAAAAAAAAAAAAACTTCCTAATTTTTCAACCTGTAGTATTAGAGAAAGATGGGCCAGGGTCAGTTTCTCTGCAGAACCAAAGCTCTCCTTGTCTTGGGTCACGGACTGTTTTTCTAAGGAGGCCCCAAGGCCCTGGGAGGCCCTATGTGGGCCTCAGTCACCATGTGACAGGGAGGCCCAGGGGAGGCTCTGAGGCCAGTCACAACCAGGTGACTGGTCATCAGACTGCAATGACCCTGAAGAGTCACTCTTCAGATAAGAAAAGTGATTTCAGGTGAGGACCAGCTCAAAATGTTAGCCATCTGGAATTTTACTTTTTTTTTTTTTAATGTGTATGCGTGTATTGCCTGCATGTAGGTAAGTGCACCCGTGTCGTGCAGTGCCCATGAAGGACAGAAGAGGCTGTCGGATCCCCTGGAACTGGAGTTATGGACAGTTGTCAGCTGCCATGTGGGTGCTGGGATTCAAACCTGGGTCTGCAAGAACAACCAGTGTTCTTAACCACTGAGCCATCTCTCTAGCCCAGAATTTTACTTTTAATAGGAAGAAAAATTCAACACCCACTAATTAGACCCTTGGAAAGGTTAAAGTCATTTGTTTAATTATTTAGAGTGCGGTGAGTAGGATGATGAGTAGCGATGGTAAAGTTTAAACTTGATTCCCTGCCTACCTGGTATCACAGAGAGGAAGGATAGGTGCTGAGGGCTGGCACCCTGACAGTGTTCACAGGCCATAGTCCACATTTTGAGAATGCCAGGTAAGGACTCAAGGTCAAGTTCAGCTGTGTTGTATAAATGGGAAAACAGCTTTGTAGTAGAGCTGAACTGGGGCCCATCCTCATGACTCTCAGGCCACTGTATGAGTCCCTGGCCCAGGTTCTCTCTGTAGAGAAGCCCCTGCCATATTTATTAAATGATATAGCATCTGTGTACTTGAAGAGACTGAAGAAGCAGCTGCTTCCTCCTCCTCCTCCTCCTCTTCCTCCTCCTCCTCCTCCTCCTCCTTTTGAGACAGGGTCTCCCATAGTCCTAACTGGCCTGGAATTCAGTATGTAGACCAGGCTGGCCTTGAACCCACAGAGATCCACCTGCCTCTGCCTCCCAAGTGCCAGGATTGAATGTATATGCTACCTTCCCTGGTTTAGATTGCAGAAGCTTTAAACACAGGCTGAAATTAGCCGGTTTCAGCTCACCTTTCTGATACCCAGGAGATAAGTCATCTGTAAACCTGCTTTCTGCCACAGCATGTCTGTTAATCCAGTTTATTCTCTGCGTGGGAGGTGTTCAAGAGGGTGTGCATACTGTGCATGTGCATATGCAGGGGCATGCAGAAGATGGGAGACATCTGAGATCTCTCTGGGCACCTGTTGTCCTATTCAAC